AGATCTAAATTTGAAAATTAATTTCCCTCCATTTCCTGCCTAAAGTATTTTAAAAAATTCACTAACACATAGGATGGACTGTATTTATTTTTACAATAATGTCTAATAGTGTATTGTATCACATTGCTCTGTTTTTACTGTTTTACCTTTTCTTGTTTCATTGTATGTAATGGCAGAGATTAGGGATTAATAAAGTACAACCATAACCACAATCATATAAACAGAAATCTATTTTATAGCAATATATTGGGGGGGACTTTTGAGCATATTTGAATATTGGGGGGGGGGGTGTGTGTGTCCCATTATATTATAATTACAGCCTTGTAGCAGCCAAAATACTCTACACGCGTGATGTTAATTGTAATGTGGAGGGAAAAACCGGAAGACCTGGAGAAAAATCCACGCGACCACAGGGAGAACATACAACTCCAAATATGCAGGCGTCAGAATCGGGATGGAACCCACGACCTACTTGCATACCAGGCGAGGTAGTTAACATCTCGCTACCTCGGCGCTCCCGACCTCTATGGGTGCTATCGCAGTGTAGTGGTTCGCAGAGCGAACTTTGCAATACGGAAGTCGCCAATTCGATCTCCCCGCACGGCAGTTGTAACGATGGGCAAGTTTCTTAAATATTAGCAAATGCAAGTGGTGATTTTAAGCCTCGTTTGGATCTCCAAGTTTTCGGAAACATTTAATCAATTTGGATGGTTTTCAATAGGACACGTCCCGAATAATAACGCAACACCATCATCAAGTCTTGTTCATATTGGATCATCATTGCGAGCGTTAGTGCCTCCACCGTTACGAATGGACAGAGCTAATAACATAAACGCTTTCAACCTTAGTTGGTAAGCGTACACCACGCACAGGGTTATGCAGTTATTTAATTTCTGCTGGAATGCTGAGAGCAAAAGGTAAGTTGAGTGGTTTTCTGGACAACATAAATATAGCCCATCTAACGGCTGTGTCCACACTTCTGACATTACATACCGGGCAGCAAATACACAATTTCAATTTTAAACGCACAGGGAGCGAAAGCCCACTCTAAGTAAATTTGTTTTTTGTTTGTGCCATAAGCAAATGTGTGCCGTCCGCTAATTATAATGTGTTCTCTGTGTGGGCGCAGGGAGACGGTTCGTGCTCGATATTGTCCCTGAATCTCTGAGCGAGTGTTTCTCGTCTCATTTAATTGCATCCGTTCTATTGACAAATCGCCCATTTGTCAAGCAATGGTGGATGGGGTCCGACCCACGCGGCACCGTGGGGATGTAATTGACCGCACTGCACTGATCAGTGCGGGTTTGCGAAAGTGGGAAGCATTAAAAAAAAAACACGTGCAAGCATAGAAGCACAGCACAACAATGGATTGTGCTCGCTTTGTTCACGGTGGCCGCACGTTCAAACACGTTGCAGGCTGAACGCGACTTAGCTGTTGAGCTCATGCACATTCTGTGTGATTTTGCTCATAGGCACTCTATTAACACAATCACGAAGATGTCTGATCGGCATGCATATTTCATACACAGGGGCTGTCCATAAATGACGTCACGCGATTTTGGACGATTTTTGACCCCCGTCCCACCACCTGTCGTCGCACGGCGTCACAAAAAGTCAGACCCCCCCTCCCTCAAATATGACGTCACAAAGCTCTCCCCCCCCCCCCTCCAAAAAAAAATAAAACATGCTTCAAATCGCTTTAAACTATTGTCATTGTAGTGCCTTTTTAATGTGGCGCTGCACTCTGATGTTGTAGGAGAAAAAATATATTAAAAAGTCTAATTATGTAGAACGTGTTGTCTATATTTATTTATAGTTGCGCATTTTGATGTGACGTCACATTTCTCAACCCCCCCCCCTCGTCACACATCGTCACAAATGTCTGCCCCCCCCCCAGGTGCGTGACGTCATTTATGGACGGCCCTACATGTGTGTATGTTTAATTTACATCTCACCACTCAGTGGTGATAATTTACATCTCACCAAATTATCTCGCCTGGTATGCAGGAGGTAGTGGGTTCGATCCCGACCCTGACGCCTGCTGTATATTTGAAGTTTGCTTGTTCTCCCTGTGGTCGCGTGGATTTTGCTCCGGGTCCTCCGGGTTTTCCCTTCACATTTAGAAACGTGCGTTTAGAGTATTTGCCTGTTATAAATTTCCACGTGATGACAAGAAATTTTGTTGAGCTTTCATTTGTGGCTAGTTCGCTTCTGAAAGAGCTATATAGCAGCTCAGTGGGCCTTACCTGGTAAAATAAAAAATAGTTTAGTGTGCAAGGTAGCCATTGGACAACGGTGCATAACTGGATTATTGAATCCATCTGTACAAAACATGATTATTTGTGGCTTTCTCCGAGTATTCCAGTTTCCTCACACATGCAAGACGCACAATGAAGGATCATTGGTAACCACTGGATGTGGTACAATTCTCAATTTTATCAACCCCGGAGGGATGATGGGTTTGAACCAAGACTTGGACTCGCAACCTTCCGATTGCGAGACACTTGGCCTGTAACTGGCGTTTAACTCGGACCGAGTGAGGTGTTCTTTTTATGGCAGAGGTTGCACTGTTGGCAAAACACAATGCTATTAAAGTACACCTCGTTTATGTGGCAAAATAACCAACTCACTGAGTCACCACCGCATGTGCAAAATGAGCTGTTTGCCTGGATATCTGATCGGCGTACGATTAAACCCACCCCGCCACCCGCCCTTGCAGCGTACATTCTGGGAAACGTGTTCTGGCCGCTCTATTAGAGATCCGGTAAATTTGCTCCAGAATGGGAAGCAAAAGGCCCAATGTCCTCAAAGGAGGCGATTGCATGGAACTGCACTGTGTGGCCGGCAAAGGCTGGCCTACCCTCCACAATAACTTGATGCCTATACAGGGCACCCACCATACGTCGATGGTGATTCAGTGTGAGAAGACAATAACAGGCATTGCGGTTTCTTGCACCCAAAAACCGCAAGATGTGCATGCATATCATGTGTGCATGCATAATGTATGTTAATTACTCAATGAATAACCCAACCGGTATTGGATATCCATTGTAATGTATATGACCACATTAACCCCCCCCCCCCCC